AATGTTACCATGAATTAAAAAATTAATATAGTTATCTGTTATTGCATTTATTGTTGTACTCTCTGTTTCCTTATCTGCACTGAGCAGTAATAAATATTGCTTACTTGGAGGTAGAAAACCAGAAAATGTTAATTGCTTTACATGATGGAAGCACCTTTGTTTTCCTTATATCTAGTACTTTGCAATGTATTTAAGTTGGCTGAACTATCATTTTTCTTAGTATACTTGAAGCATTTGACATTTATATATACATTGGGGTTTGCATGTAAATGGAAAGTTTTAGGGATTGAATTTTGATTCAAAACATCAAACTTGTATTTTACCTTGGAGTATAACAGACATTCTAAAAATTTACAAACAAAAACCCCAAATGTTTATGCTCAATTTGACCTAATGTTTTTAGAAGTGTCTTTAGTGCTTGACTAAATGTTTAAGCTCTCAAAAGTGAAATTATCTCTGAGTGAGCACAAAACATGGAAACATCTAAATATGGAAACAATGAATTGTCATGTTAGAAACTTATTATTCTATGGCTTTGTAGACTGCTTTACTTTTTTCCAGCTCCTTCTGTCCTCAGTCTTCATAACTTGAGAACAATATGGCAGCAAAGATTTAGTCAAAAGCTTATCTGCAACTTAAAAGATCTGTATATCTAGTAAGAGAGAGATGCTTGGTAACCACACATACCTCCCGCCAGCAACAACTCCATTATCAGAGCTTTATGTGAGATAGAGTAAGATGATAATCTCACAGGTAACATTTTTAGGGAGTTTCCAAGTTTATTTAAATATCATAACACCTGTTATCTGTGTATGCATAAAAAATAATCAGGAAGGTCCTGCCTCAAAGGAATCATTTGCTTACTAGGACAGACACAGAGAAGGTAGATATACTGGTCTGGGAAACTCCAAAGGGATTTGCTTTCTTGATACATCTGTATGTAATATGGATTGCCCTAACTTTGTATTTTGGACATTAGAAGGGCTAGGTAATAAATGCTGTTGAAGCACAGTTTTCTCACATTAGAAATTCTTGTTAGGATAGGGACAATTGTGGCACTCTCAGATACAAATGTGTACAGCAAAAAGTTTCTGTTTTCTAAGCTTTAAGAAGTTGATATCCCTACATTTAGGGAGCTGTAAAATAGTATAATTTAGTTGTCTTTGAGATCCTTCAATTTTTTCTGTTTGGTTAGGTTTGTTATGTGGGCTGTTAAAGCCCATGTTTAAGTAAATTAACATGAGTAGGACAATCTGTTAAAATGCAAAGAGCTAACTGGGAAAAATATCTTCCTACTGTTACAACGAACCTTAAAATAAAAGATGTACAAGTAATGCAGATCTTGGACTTTACAGAGGTATCTTCCTTTTTCAGGGTGCTCCTAAACCGATTGCCATTGAGCCATGTTCAGGAAACAGAGCCGCAGTCCTCACTGTATTTTTATGTCTGCCCAGAGGATCATCAGGAGTACCACCCCCTGGTCAGTCAGGTAAGGTTCTTGTTGGTGAGCATTATGTCTGTCCTCGTGCAGTGCAATTTAGGCAAGGCACTGCTCAGCCAAGGAGTTGTTAAGTTTAGAGCCAATGTTAAATAAGGAATTTTTGTTTAGAACGTGATGTGATGTCCCAAATAAAAACCCAGTCATCAAAATAGGCTGGTGTGCAATGCCATTCCTCATCAGCCTTTCCTCAAACAGTATGTTTGTACATGCCAATATGCTTCAATCTTGTCTTCTAGAACAACAAAAAAATTAATAGGTAGCTGCTTCTACAGTTTCCATTCAAGTTGCTATAAACTAGGCTTTGTAGGGAATACCAGTGAATATTCTCAGTTCAAATTGATGATTAGTGCACTAACTTCTAGTTAAATTCCTTCACACCATGAATCCCAATCCTGTGCTGTCCAGGATTCCATTAAAATATTAGCATTTCCCAGAATACCTGTTGGATGAAACCTGGGATTGTGCGAGAGAATGTCTCTTTCATTAGGAAGGTGTTCACTTTGGAAGTGATTACAGCTCATTTTGAAGCAGCATTTGCATTATCTGGAGGCACTTCTTGTGGCAATCTACCTTATCTGATCTATGCTAGCTTGTTGTACAAAACTATTACAGCTGTTCTTACAAAATACTTCCTAAAGTTTACTTAACAGGAGCTACCTAAAGACACGTATTTAATTATTTACACAAATTATTTACACAAATATATGATGCAAAATGGTAACCACAACAAAGTTTAGGCAGCAATATGGTGCTGCACAGATGACCAGTTTATTATTTCAGAACTGACTGGAGGTGTTGCCAAAATGAACACCTTTGTCATGAACAGCAAGCTGCATAGTATGTGCCCAAAATGCTCTTATAAGCCAGAAAATACACTTTAAGGCTAACTTTTGTTATTAAGAGCCAAAAAGATACCCTTTTAACCTTCAAAAATCCATTTAAGAGATTAAAAAGTAGTGAGTAATGATGATGAGGGCAAAGTCAGTTGACTTATGTTGGAAATAAACTCAGCTAAGTGTTCCTTCTCTTCCTTTGGCCTGATGACTATCTGTTATTTATTTGGTTGTTAGATCAGGTTGTTGTTGTTTTTTTGTGGGGAGAATTTTATTTTTTTTCCCCTGAGTCCTGAGATGAAGACTTAGTTCTGAAAATGCTGTTTATGGCTTAGAGTATAATTTCTGGAAGCACTATGAAAATAAAAGTGTTAATGATGCTTTGTCAAATACATTTCCTGGAAGAAGTATCTAAATGTAAGTGCTCTGAAGAGAGCAATGAGGGGGGAAGGATGTTTAGCATATTCCCTGTTCATGTTTTAAGGAAGTGAAAAAAAAATCCAAAGGTGTGTATAGTCTTATAACAAGAAAAAACATTATGAAAGGAAATTAAGTGTAATTGTTGAAATTGAAGCTGAAAATGTTTTGTTTTCAAATTTAGCTGTGATGTGCTTCTTGACAGTAAAAATGTATTTATCTAGTTACTTCATAATCGGCATCTATTCACTATCTACAGGGGGGTTTTGCTGTTCTTTGCTGTGTGTAAAATGTGGAGGGAATAGGCTTTTTGAAACAGGAGTTGGGTTCAACAACACAGCAGGTGTGTCATTTTGAGTGTTTCTCAATACGTGGAAGAATATACCATTTAGTATTTAAAAATACCTAAAATTTGTATTCCCTCAGCTTTCACTTCACTCAGGGTCAAAAGCAAACAGAAACGCGTGAGGTGTGCAACCACCCTGATTCAACTCTTAGATTATATTGCTACAATAATTTTTTCTTGGGCATAATGAATTTTGGTACTCATGCACTGCTTTCACTGTCTGTAACCAGGCATAGTCTAGGCAGAAGCTATTATGCAAGTTTGTTGACATACCTGTAGCTGTACTAATTCCCTTCATTCCTCTCCTGCAGCACTCACCTGCTGCTTCTTTCCTGGGCTTCCTGGGAGCAGATGCTGTGAACTGTGCCAAGTTACTTGAAATGATGTGGAAGCTTTGTGCAGCAGACATATGTTTGCTATGCAGTTGGTTTCCCTTATGACCTAAGCTAGGTTAAAACAATGATATTTAGGTGGATAGAAGTAGTTTGGTGTTTGGTAATTATGTCTTGCCAAGTAATTTTAGAATCCTCTGTTACTTGCGTATAACTATTTTCAAGCTCATTGGGATCATTCAAGGATAAAACTGATGGTGTGTCAAACATATTTGTTTAAATGATACATCAACAATACTGATTCTCAGTTCACAATGAGAGACCATGGGCTTCATTTCTTATGTGCATATGTCTAAAACATAGGAAGGAAATGCCTATTCTGTTCTGCATTACATTTTCTCCAAAATCAAGATAGCTAATTCTTTCCACAGGCAATTAGTCTGTGCTCTGCTGGAGTTGTTAGTCGTATTGCTGTGTTTTTAAGATCTGAATTTGATCAAGCATGAGTTTTACTTATTTCCAAGCTTTGCATGAACAAATAATTCATTGAAAAATGTCTCTGAATATTAAAAAAAAACCCAACAAATGAATGTAAAGGTTACTCTTTCGGCAGCATATGTTCTGTACTTCACCTTTATAGCAGCTGGAAGAAAAGTTGAAACTACAGATGGTGGGTTTTGGCCAAAGGCTATGCAAGGCAAAAACTTCTCTAGGAGACACCATATGTCCCAGTGGAGATCTGAGTGCTCTCTACTTCCTGCAGAAAATACTCAGAATTTAACAGACATTTGACAGCATTTGTTTAGTTCTAAATTGACACAATTGACACAATTAGGCTTATTTAAATTAATATGTGATTTAAGATAGGTTTTGTACAGATTGGTCATGTGGATTCAGATGAAATATTGATAAAATGCAATCTATTAAAAAAAAACAACAACCCACTATTCATTGTGACTCATACTTCAAAATAGACATTTTTCATTGAAGGAAGGATTTGTACAACTAAGCATCCTGAAAATCTGGAAAGTCAATGTTACCATCATAGTAGCTTAAGTGTAGCACAGAAGACCTTACATTTTCTTTTAGGTGTAAGCTTTGAAGAGGTTATTAAAAACTCAGTTATACTTCTCTAGGGGAACGACTGGTTTAAAATGAAATTTTGCTTGGATTAAGGCAGAAATTAGAACCACATGATAAATTAGAATGATCAATGGAAAACATTAATGAATTTTAGCAGAAACTAAATTTCTCAGGTTTTGATTGACTGATAGAACATGTGGTTTCATCATTCTTCCGTTGTCCCATTGGCTGCATTGGAGCTGGGTAATTGGATCAAAATTCAAAGGTTCAAAGAAAACCAACCAATTTTCTGTACAATTCACATGTATATCAATGTGCATGCATGAATGTATGTGCATATCAGAAAAAAACACTTGTCCAAATGCTTGTGGGCAGATTATAATATATAATGCACATATATGTTTTACAGATTTTATGACACATTGGAAGCTAGAGACCATCTATTACTGCTGTAGTGGCTGACCCCATGCTTTAAATAGCTTAAGCTCTTCTCAACATCAAGGGAGATCTAATAATGAAAGCAGCTGCAACCAGATCTCTAGAAAGAACTAAATTATACATCTCAAAGGATATTGAACAAAACAAGCCTGACAGGAGGGAAAAAAAAAGAAAAAGAAAAAAAAAAAAAAAAGAGGGAGGGGGGGGAATAAGAGGATAATATATAAATTACTTCATGCAGGAAAAGTTGCCAATGAATTACCAGAAGTGGAAATGCCAAGAATAACTTCTTCAAGGTCTTCATGTGGCTTTGGTGATATATTGAGTAATTCAGAAAGAGTAGCTTGGTAGTGTGATAAATTCTGTTAAAAGAACTCTGATCATGTCATCATTATTATTAAAGCAAACTAAATCCCACACTTTGAGGTATCAAGGTATTGTACAATTAGTTTATAAAACTCTATGATGTTTGCATTGCTCTTTGATAAGGCCAGTAAATTCCTTAAAGAACAAAGAGAAATGAGAAGATTAGAACACTTCAAAATGATTCAGAATCAAGGGATATAATCTGTGAATTATTTACAGGTTATGTTTCTTCCATACAGCAAAATGACCCTGTTTACCAAACAAGTTAAAGTGGTTGAGCACCCAGTGAAGATACTTTCTAATTAAGACAGTGAGCTGAGACGTCTCTGAATGTCTATGTTTGTGAGTGTCTCTCTATTAAACTACAAAGGATGTCTAACATATACGTGGCTATGACTTGGTGAGGTGAATATGACTTAACAACTATAAATAACCCTTGCAAATTGAAATCAAGAACTAAATAAAACATAGCAAGAAACAGAGCAACTTCAGGGCTATCTGAATATTAGTGTCTGATATCCTTGAATCAAAACAGAATTTCATGTAATTCTGGCCACAGTGACTGTGGGGTTCAGTCCTACTTAATCAGCAAACTACAGCAGGATCACAGAATCAATAAAATTACCATGCCATCTGCCTCCCCTCTACTCACCAGCATAATGAATAACGACTCATTAAGTGTTCTACAAGACAATTAGCTCTGGATGAGGATTTTCAGTAACAAAGCTTTCTTGGTTGTATTTCTAATTTTTTAGGATTAAAGTGCAAAAAAAAAAGGTCATAAGAGGCACAGAATCACAGAATCATCATGGTTGGAAAAGACCTCTAAGATCATCGAATCCAACTGTCAGCCCAAAGAAAACCACCATGCCCATTAGTGCATGTCCTGACTGCCACATCTACACTTTTTTTAATACCTTCAAACACGTTAATATAAACATGAAATAATGAATATTTTTAATAATTATATTTAATTATATTGCTTAATTGTTCTGACCCTTGGAAACAAAAACATAGGTTAGATTTTTCCACCTGGTTCATAGATGTACTTATCTCAGCATACAGTGAAGTAGTTGTAGACATACACCAGAGGCAAGTAAGTCCCATGATTTTTTACCTGCTACAAAAATATTCCTTCCTGTGTCCCTTGTTACTTGCAAAATAAAGCCAGTA